GTTAAAACTTTCACATTCAAAGCCCGAAAGTGATTAATTTTTATGTGTCCAAATTCCACCTCTTTGTTAATACTAGTCTGGTCCGAATGGATGCTGGTTCTTTTGGTTAGGTGAGGAAATCGTAATCCCTATGTGCAGTACAGAAGTTAAATAATCTGTTTCCCTTCCTATTGTGTCTGAGCCCTTAAAGCTGTGTTACAGAGCACCGATTGATAATCACAGAATCACAGAATCTTCTAGGTTGGAAGGGACCTTAAAGATCATCTTGTCCAACCGTCAAGCTAACTGACAAAAATAGACACCCACACAACAAACAAGGAGCATCATCACTAAACCATACCTCCCAGCACTACATCAACCCGTCTTTTGAACACCTCCAGGGATGGTGCCTCAACCACCTCCCTGGGCAGCCCATTCCAATGGCTGATAACCCTTTCAGTGAAAAAATTTTTCCTAATATCCAGCCTGAACCTCCCCTGGCGCAACTTGAGGCCATTTCCTCTTGTCCTGTCGCCTGTGACTTGAGAAAAGAGACCGACCCCCATCTCTCTACACCCTCCTTTCAGGTAGTTGTAGAGAGCAATAAGGTCTCCCCTCAGCCTCCTCCAGGCTGAACAACCCCAGCTCCCTCAGCCTCTCCTCCTCAGACTTACTCTCCAGACCCCTCACCATCTTTGTCGCCCTTCTCTGGACCCGCTCCAGCACCTCAATGTCTTTTTTATGGTAGGGGGCCCAAAACTGGACACAGTACTCAAGGTGAGGCCTCACCAGTGCCGAGTGCAGGGGGAAGATCACCTCTCGGGCCCTACTCCCCACGCTGTTCCTGATACAGGCCAGGATGCTGTTGGCCTTCTTGGCCACCTGGGCACAACTGCTGGCTCATGTTCAGCCGACTGTCGACCACTTGCTGATAACAGCAATGCTACGCCCTGCTGTTGGACTCCCTCCACAGCCTTGCCTTCTATTTTCTTTGGGTTTTTGCGTGTGGTGGTGTTGCTTGTTGTTTTTTCCTGTGTTTTGTTTTGTTTGAAACAGATGGAAGCACTAATACCTAACAGGCTGCATGTGCTTGGTGTAGGAGAGGCCAGGAAGCTTGGATTGTGGGCAATAAAGCAAGAAAGGAGAATGAGCCGGTTGATAGAGGCTGCGGCACAGTTAAAATCCTCGCTGCCAAAGAGAAAGTAGAATATTCCTTGCAGCAGAGGAATGTCCCCAATGTATTGGAAGTCTCTGCCCTCTGCTGGCTTTCCTGAAGATCAGCCTCAACTCGGCTGTGGGAGTCTGTGATCTCATCCCAGGAGAGTTCTCACAGACAGTGTTGAGACTGGCCGGCCGTATTTATCAAGCAAATCCTTAAGAACATGGTGTTTCGGGAAGTGCCAGAATGGCAGTGTCTGACAGGGATCTAAATCTCAAGTGACATTTGCTACTGACTCCTGCAGGGCTCTCTGGGATGTCTGCCTACTTCTCACCTTGTTCAACACTGCAAGGGTCTGAAGCGTCTCCGCGTGCTATTACACTCCCCATCTGTTTTCCTCCGCAGAACCAATACAAGGAAGGAGAAACAAGACCATGTTACTTTTTGTTGTGGTGGTGGTTCTCATTCCACTATAAAAAAAAAAAAAGTGCTTGTTTAGCATAATGAATTATTTCAACAAAAGGTTTCGAAGTGCAGTTTTGGGTGAATGTAGAACTGCAACTGCTGCATGACTCAGCTACCACCGTATTGGAAACATTTCCATCTGTTTTCCTTGGGTGAAAAACATAATTTCAAACCTTCATTTTGTGGCAATTGGTACAAAACTAATTTTCCCATAAAAATATAACTTTGAAAATTAATTAAATCTATTGGTAAAATATATGAATTTCACTTCACAGTGAAACCTGAAGACATTTGGACTCAGTCCTGCAAGGAACCAAAGGTTCTGCAAAGCAACGGGACCTGGGTCAGGCTTTGCAGGGTGGTGGCCTCAGTCCGAGCAGCAGCTCAGGTTCTCACCCACTCACCCCTGTGTATTGGGTTTGGGTGGGGAGATCTGGGTGCACTTCCGAGAGAAGCTGCTGGAAGCTTTTCCTGTGTCCAATAGTGCTAGTGCCAGATGGCTCCAAGATGAACCCACCATTGGCCAAGGCCAAGCCCATCAGCCATGGTGCTGGTGCCTGTGGGATAACATGTTTGAAGAAGGGAAAAAAAGCCCCAAACCCACACAATTACAGCCAGAAGAGAGAGGAGTGACAATATGTAAGACACAACTCTGGAGATACCAAGGTCAATGAAGAAAGATGACAAGGAGGTGCTCCAGGTGCTGGAACAGAGATTTCCCTACAGCCTGTGGTGAAGACCATAGTGGTGCCTATTGTTGTCCTCCTGCAAACCATGGAGGTTAGCGATGGAGAAGATATCCACCTGCAGCCCATGGAGGTTAATGACGGAGCAGATGCCTGGACCCCACACGAGAGCAGGTGGATGCCTTGAAGGAGGCTGTCGTGGAGACATAGAAAGCCCACGCTGGAGCAGGTTTGCTGGCAGAACTTGTGACCCGGTGGGGGATCCACACTGGAGCAGTCTGCTCCTGAAGGACTGCACTCCAGGGAAGGGACCCACACTGGAGCAGTTCATGAAGAACTGCAGCACACAGAAAGGACTCACATTGGAAGAGTTTGTGGAGCGTTGTCTCCTGTGGGAGGGACCCCATGTTGGAGCAGGGGAAGACTATGAAGAGTTGATAGAAAAGTGCCTCACTAAATTGGACCTATACATGGGAATTTTTTAATGACACCAGTTGTACAGTCCTAAATTTAAAAAATGGTAAATTCAGCTGCTTAATATAGATAAGAAATGACTAAATATTGAATACCTTAAATTAAAGGAGGATAAACTTCTGCAGTATTACATTCCTGTTGATGGTGCCATATAAACAGTAAAATTCCCTCCTCGTTGCAGCACCAACAGATCTCTGAGCCTGCTGAAGGCACCAGGCAACCCAGATGTTTCCAGTGTCAGAGTGGCTTTTTTTTTAACTGGAATAAAGTTTGTAGAGACACAGGATGAAACTGGTCACATGAAGTCACTTTTCCATCAAACTCCCCAGGTTAAACATCTCACCTCTAGCAGCTGGCTTGACGTGCATTTGCCAACACCTTCACTCTCAAGCTTCAATAATGCCTTTTTTGTATCTTTCCACTCATACCTGCAACTGATAAAAGTCAATAATCCAGACAACAGTCTTCCATTCACAATTATGCCTTAACACTATTTGCTCTTTCACAGTCAGCATATTTCACCACTTTTACATTACCACAGCCAACATATTATTGTTTCCAATAGCTATATTGCTGCTTCTTAACCAGTAAGCAGCAGTACAAGTTGAACAAGGACACTGGGAAACGTGTTCTTGAACACGAACGCTGGGAAAACACAACAGAAATTTTTCAGTTTTATGGAATGGAAAAATTGCTCGTATTTTCTACTATCCTTCCCCCTTCAAGCAAGAGGGGAAGGGCAGCTCAGTTGAGGACAATGTTCCTGTTACTACACTCACACTCCTTTCAACACGGATTTCTTCTACCACATATTTTTATACAGCTGCTCTGCCTTATAAAAGCCATAGCCTTTCATTTAATTAGCTGGGGTAATTAGGGCAGCAGTCAGGATATGCACAGCAGACCCCTGTGAGGCATTGAACCGGCACTGGAGCTAGAGCTTCAGAGAGTGACTGGTGGCACTTCATGTTTAACACAGCTGCTCTGCTTCTAGACCTGTGTTGGTGCGTTCATGCAATATGACATGGAAGGAGACAACCAGCCAGGCTGGGTCTCCACAAGCTTAAGAGCCCTCTCCTCAGCAGAGACACCTCCCCTGCTCCCAAGGCCCTATCTCCAGTTGGCACTGGTGGAGCATACCTGAAGCATCTAGGTCAGAACCACAGATCTGCCTCAGGTTTTCCTACCAGGACCACCAGGTCTTTCAAGTGAAGGAGGAGGACTCAACCTATCTTTCAAAATGCGTGGATTGCACCTCAATTGTCTTTTTCTGATCACCTGTTCTCTACCAAAATTTAAACCTGGTTTCCCTTTTTCCTCCTGTATAGTCTCAGGCTGGTGAGTCACAACCTTCAACTTAATTCACGTGACTGATGACCAGCCATTTGCCTTTTTTCACCAAGTTACAAATAACACCATTAAAGTCCAGCAATGTGCACATCATCTACAAAAGATGCCTGAAAAGCCCCTACAGCCCTTAGGAAGTAAAAGATTCTCTGCTCATCTCAGTCCCATTTCCCGTGTTATCATCTTCTGCCACAGTTCTACAAAAACATCCATGAGCCACAGAGCCTGCTAGGTCTCCTTGGCCCTGTGTTCCTACACAGATGTATAAACACACATCTGGAATCCCAGCTGCTCTCCCTTCACCATTCAAGAGTTTGATCTGCCCTTCAGGGAGCAGATTGAGACACAAGTCAGTAGATGTTTGCAAGACAACACAGCAATGTGAAAGCAACTTGGCCACTCAACTAGCCTGGCAGAGGGAAGCCTTCACATCACATAAGCTTGTAGTACGATAGCTCTTCCTTTTTCCAGAATAATCAAGTAACACCTTAAGAGTTTTCTTCATTCCAGTTTTCAACTGCAGAAATCACTGTTCAAACAGAATGGCTGCAAGTCTTCCATTTAAAATCAAATCAAAAAGCTCCATGAATTGACTTTCTGACCAGTTTGACAGTACATAAAAATTTCCCTCTACACCTCTCCATCCAGCAGGACAAACCAAGTAAAGGGACAGTCACACCAAAACAGGCAATTGTGCAGCCATATAGCTGTGTTAAAACTGATATAGCCACATGTGAGCTTTTCCAAGTGGGAAGAAGGAAAAGGTTTCCAGGCTGCTGGCAGCAAATCCTTCCCCAGCACAACCCTGAGGCTACTTAAAATAAAAAAAGTGGATAAATTGCTTAAAATGTTATCCAGACATTTGTGTTAGAGTGACAGAGACAGCCCAGTACATAAAACAATATATATTTATTTAGCACAAAAAGTTCCATATTCAAGTAGAAGTGTATATGCTTCTTCTAGAATTTCTTTACGGCACTTTGCTTTTAGAAAAATTAAAGAACCATCATGACTAACACAGAGACGTACTAATCATTTGGCAGAAGGACTGTTTTATCCTACAACTGTAGGCCTGATAGCAGCTTTTAAACTGTAAGGCAAATTAGGAACTCCTCCTCAAGTGAGTAATCTCTATACAGTTCCATTAACTCAAGTGGAACATTCACAAGAAAAATATTACGAGACTAGGACATTATATATGACTGTAACATTTTCTATAATTGCAGCCAATATTATATGCTGGGGGGGAGTTATATTCTCAGACAGGAAAAGACAGATTACTGAAAGATTTACAGTAAATTACCAGAAACACTGACTGACCGAGAAAACAAATCCAACCATTATATATGTGATTACATGACATAATTAAGCACAATTCCCATTTCAGAGAAAATGGGTAAGCTGACATATAATGCTCAGAATCAGGACACCTACAGACTCTAAAGCCTGCAACTTTAATTTAGAGACAAATACTTGATACTTGTTGATAAACGAATGCAGATAGTACACAACTGACAGCACAGAAATATTACTTGAAATCTGGTTCCATTAATGACATAGCTGCAATCACTGGACACAGAATACCATCCAATTACACTGGCAGAGAGATCTTCCATAGCTTCTCCTTTGCTGAAGTTCCACTCTCTTCAGTGACTGACATCAAAGATGTGCTGCCACGAGTTCAGTCTTCCCTCCTGTAGTTACCACCTGGATTAGACTCCCCGAGTTGGGCCGACTCTTTCCTGTTACCCAGTCATAAAATGTTCTGTTTTAAAAATAAACAGATAAAACAGGGTGAGGAGGGGAAAAAAACCCCCATACTACTATCAGGTATATCAACAGAAAGCATAAAATAAAAGCCTATTACTTTCCCTTCTTTTCCTACTGGCCTCTCTAGTGATTTCTGTGTATGTTGCAGACCAGCAATGTGATCTCTGGATTCAGACCTTCAGAGATAAACAGAGGCCCAGAGGAATCTGCAGGGCTTTACAGTGCACACACAGGATTTGCAGAACATCTCAAAGGAAAAGGCCAGGGGCTTCAAATGTTAAAGCAGCAAGCCAGAGCTGCAAGGTTTTTCCAAGTTTTAAAAAAAAAAAAAAATTTAAAAGGGGAAGGAGAGGCTACTTAAGTTGCCTTTACAGTATGTATCTATCTATACAGGAATGCAGACTTATGGATAAAATAAGAGTTGCTAAACCAATTACTCTCCCAACAGGCCATTATAACACTTAGATATATATATATAACTGTGACAGTGGTCTGGGCAGAAGCACAGAAAGCCTTAAGACATCCAGTATAATGCTGAGTAAGGTGGACTCATTCTGGACTCCTTATCAAAATGCAGTACAAATTCCATACTCAAAATATAATACAAAAAAATGCAGTATATTTTTCAGGTCTATCAACCCTTCCAATATTGCAGACATAGCAGGATGTCCCAACGTGGCAGTCACCATCTGACACAACAGCTTCCAGGGCACAAAATTCCAGTGCCATATGGGAAAAGATCTCCTGCACCCTTCCCAAGACGCGGATGTTACCAACACTTTAACACCATTGGGTGTTTTTCTTCCACAGCCAGTGAGATTTTTTTTTTTTCAGTTTTCAAAGCTGGATTTAAAGTTTAGGGAAAAGAAACAAAACAAAGCAATCAACCTAATTCTCCCGTAAGGAAAAAACACTTTAAAGTTAAAATTCAAGAAAATGAATTTGTAAAACCACAACATCTGGCTAAGCAGTCTCTGAAGCACAGTAAATTAAATAACTTTTTTTAACAGTTTTAGGCCAACCAAATTCAATTGATGGGTCCCTTTTAAAGAGCCACATCAAACAGCTGCAGAGGCTTTTCACAATAAAAACCATTTCCCTCTCAGACATCCAACTTAAAAAAAAAATTCCCCCAAAAAAGGAAATCCAATGTCTGAACTAAACTGCTCTCTGAACAATTAGCAATAGGGTAAATGCAATTTCAGCATCAGTTCTAAAAGACTTGAAAAATATGTAAGAGTAAAGCCCTTTACAACGTACGAACATAGATTCATCTTTGTTTTTCCTCAAAGAGACAAGACAGTTGTGTCCTTATTTTCTTCCTTTTGACAGCTCACCCTCAGCAGAATCTTTACTCCCCATCACATCACAGAACACAGTACTTACACTGCACCTTCTCTAACTGAGAGGAATTAGAAAGACTAAGCCTTATGACCTCAACCTGCTGTTAAATAAGCTCCAGGTGAAGTTCCAGCATTTTGCAATATCATTCAGGACAAGTCTTTGGGGATGATGGGGGGAAAGAAAATCTTGACTAAATTTTTGTAAAAAAAAAAAAGAGCAGGAATTTGGCCAGCCAAGAGAAGTGAACTAACACACCATAGACTAAGCAGTAAAGAGTTTAAAAAAAATAAATAAATCCCAAACTTTACATGCCTATTTGCTGTTCACCTTTAAGCCAGACTACTGTCTCCTGCATCTGCTGTCTGCAATTTACCTACAGGCTTTATAGGATTCTCTAGCTTCCAACTGCCTAAGGCTATCTCCCTTGTTGGAGTAACTGGTGTAAAGATGCTGAAGTTGCCAGAGTTGAGCTGATTTTCTCCAGTTAAGAAGCCTGGGCAATAAAGCCAGTGTGATTCAGAAACATACACAATAAGGGGATGATGGAGATAAAAAAAACCCCATGCAAATCCAAGTCAGCTATTTAGCAAGAACATGCAATAAGATGCAGCAGCAAGAGGGACAGTGAGGAATTGCTTTGTTATGACACGGATACTCACTCAGCAATGAAGTCTAAGGGAGTCCAGGAGCTGAAATCTGCATCAGGCATTGATTTCCTGTTTGCTGGTGTATCTAAGGTAACCCTGTGATTAAAAAAGATAAGCCTTTTATTTAAACATCATGTTCCTGATGAGCACCACCTGCTTCTATTTGTTGCTGTAACGTATGCTTGGCTTTTACGCCACGCAGTACAGATTTCCCTTGCATCCTCTACATGTGTTAACAGCATATAGCCATCAGTTTCCATGTGTATCAAAGGCTCTAACCTATAATCCCTCACCTTCCCAGCTCACTGATGACATCCAGCCCATTAGGGCAATCATTTAGCCCCCAAGCTCCCTGTCAGTCTCTCAGTGGCAGTAATATGCCCGTTCACACGTACTGCCCAGCACAATGATATTAAGGGGGGAACTTTTCACAACTCCCTCACTCAGACGCTGTTAACAATCCAAGATGTAATTACTCTTTTAAAAATTCACTCAAGAACAGAGTTCTGCATGAGAACCATGCAAGTGTAGAACGCCCAAAAGCCCAGTGATCTTGGTGTCTGCCTGTCTGTAAAGCTCTATAGAAGGTGTCAATTTTCCCCAACATTTTTAATGCTGTTGCTCTCTGACCTAAACAAGTGTGCATAAGACCGTGTATACATGGAAAACAAAGCAGGGAGAGTTCAGGCAGTGTTGCAAATCCTGTCTAAAATTTTGGGTCCTGAACTAGATATGGACTTAGCAAGTAAAACACTCTTAAATTTTGCAGCAGAATTGATAAATGTAGATATAGTAAAGGCCTACTGAGCCATCCACTTTTTACTAGCTTTCCCCATCAAAAAGAAAGCTGTAACAAGCAAACACAAATTCAACTTTTTCTTTTCACAGATCCTCAAAGTGACCTAAGTTTACTGATAACATATAGATATACAGCACCTTATGAAGAAGCATCTTTAACCAAGTCAAAATTTGTCAAGTAATCCTGCGCTTTACTGTTATTGCACAGCTAAGTCTAAAACTGCGCTGAACAGCTCATCTCATTCTCAGAGTTCTGCCTGTACTGGGGGGAAAAGAAAAAGTATCATGTTAATGCATGGCTATGGTTAAACTGATTGAAAATAATCCAATTTAATTCCAACATCCACTACTGTTTTGCAAAGAAAAGGAGAACTTCATCATTTTTAGGGTGATTCACATATCACTGTGTCCATACATTCAACGTGCCTCCTTTCTCTGTGAAACTCTAAGTAGGTCTGAGAAGCTGTTTGTGTACTGTGAGCAAGACACAGCAAACATATCCATGTGCCTCCAGGTTACAGCAGTAATTAAATTAAACCCACTTACGGTAAAATAGCAACAGCAGCAGAACCAGATGGTAGGCCACTGTTGGCACCAGCTAAACTCTGGCAAAGCTGATGCACCGCTCCTTTGGCCATGCCGTAGCCAATCATCCCTAACAATTAAAAACAGGAAAATTAGAGCACAATCAAAGCAGCTCTCAGTATGCAGTATGATAGAAACTCAAATTATTTGATGAATATTAAGTTTAAGACCGCTTATCACAGCCAGAACAGAATTACAGGCTTTTAAAATATATCAAAATACACATATTAAAAAGAAAAAGAAAAAGCAAAGAGCTCTTACTAGACAACCAGGAACTATCACAGAACTCTGTTTACTCAGCACTATAGAAATAAGCAGCTTACCTTGTTAAGTACATTTAGCTCATGCATCCAAATGTACCCTGAAGGGTGGGACCTACAGGGCTAACCTTACAAGCCTAACAGGGTAAGTGTGAAGGTGCTCATATACTTTAATAGGCAACCATCCATTAATTTTAATCATATGACTAAGGTATTTGCAGGTTTGAACCCAAAGAGATAGAGCTCAGTTCTCTCAGGAACTGTAATTTCCTTGGTCAGCATCCCAAAGCTGACAGGCCCTTTGGAGAAAACTGTTAAAATTACTGGCTAACCTGCCAGGTACAAGATCTGGACAATCAGGGTGCTATAGGTCTGAGATGTCTCATGCTATGTATCTGCCAAGCAGTCTGGACACAGATTAAGCACATGAGAAAACTTAAGTCTACTACAACTGGATGCCTTCCTACCCATTCATGTAACTACACAACCCCTTCCAAATGCTCCTGAGCAAGTATTTTGTATCAAAGTTACAAAGGTAATTTTGCATTGCAGAAATTTTTCATTATATTCAATTAGACATACTGTATTATATCCATTTTTATCAGGAAGAATCATGGGCTGCAGTAGCTAACTTACTGTTATGATAAAAATATTTGCATCTCTTATCATATTCTCCTCTTGTCTCACCTAAACCAAACATTCCAAGTCTTTTAAAACATTTTTATGTTCTGCATTTCTTAGCCATCACTGTCAGACCACTTCTGTAACTGTTTATATCATTCCCAGTATTCTTCAATTCGCATTATGCGAGTCAACATTTACACATAGGAACAGAAAAATCACACTAACAGCAAACAAGAAAAAGCTTATTCCTTCCATAGCCGCTGGTAGGAAGAAGCCTAACAAGTCATATTTGCAAATATTGAGTAACAACTCTTTCCCAATTCTTCCTGCTGTTAATAAGTTGCATGTGTTTGCCCAAAGCACTGCTGTGTCTTTTAGAAAAATCCAGACTTGTTGAAACCAACTAGTTCAAAACATGAAAGTAGATCACTTTGATTCCTGTGTTGTGGTCCCTACCTCCCAAAACCACCCAAACAAAAAACAACAGGAAAGTTTGCCAGAGTTCACATTTTTCCATTGGTATATGGTCAGTCAGTAGTGCACACTAAGTTATTCATCTGCTTATTCTCATAAAACAAGTCTTTTATCTTCAGACTACACCAGATGCAGCTGTAAACATAGAAGATAAATCATTAACTAGAAAATGCAGCATCTTTCTCCTGAACAGTTTTGGACACAGCTTTCAGGAATATTCATAAACGTTTTACGTTGTAAAATATTAGTATCTATGTCTCATCAAAATATTTTTGAAGACAGACTAATGAAAGATTGGGAAATAAGAGTATTTGTCTCAAACTTTCCTCTTCCTGACTGTGGGCTTGTGTGTCGGTGGCCCTATTTAAAAAAAAAAAAAAAGCCTTAAATTGCTCCCAGATTTCTTCCTCCATGCCGACCAACATGGTGAGGAGCAAGATGAAAAAAACTAACAAAGTTCATATTAAATAGCTAGTGGAGGGCAAAGATGAAGGTCAACAAGCTTATCTATGTCAGAAGCAAAGGCAGACTGGAATCAGAACATGAACAGCACAAGCACATTTAACAGAATCAGCTGACTCATCACCAATAGACAAATTGGGCAATTAAGCATTGCCTTTCAGAACACAAATAGGAGACTAAACTCTATTTAAGCACTCTACTTACAGCTTGCTGTGTGCTAGTATTCTTGTTTTCCAAATACTAGTACATTTCACAAATGCATGTCAAGTACCATTTAAATACTGATTCTGTTTGCCCCCCAGCTTCAAGAGATTCGGTATTGCTACCTATAAAATTACACTTTCTTTAAGGTTTCAGAAGCAATTTGCAATTTGTACTAGATGTCAAGAAACTGGGGAGTGAAACTGTTACTTCTCAAACACGAGAATGCTCAGACTAAGACAGCTATAGCTGCTGATGTCCCAGCAGTTACCACAGGTTGCATTTTACCTGGAGTTCCAGATAAAGCAGCTTGAGCTCCCGTCAAAGTCAAGAGGCCGCCTTCTTTCAGGTGTTTCGTGGCGAGGTGACTGGAGATAGTGGATGTCCAAACGCTCTGCTTCCACATCAGATCACAGTTTTTGTATAAAGCTGATTAAGAAAAGAATTAGTGAAATTAACTCAAAGATAGAAGACTTCTAACTCTAATTTCCCTACTGTCACGCAGAATGCAACAGCCTAGGAAAACACGTTTTCTACCATTTTCTGCTTCCACATTGGGCAAAACATCAATTTATGTCTTTTCTATCTCCCTCCTCTTTGGGGTCTGAATCTCAGCTCTACAGCGTATATTCTGGGCAGTTATCTGCCTTCTCACTACCAGAAACAAAAAAACCAAAAAAAATAAACAAACAAAAGATAGTTTAATTAACTCTGCATTAATGGTTCAAAGATTTCCAAGCTCTTGAAACTCCTGTAGGGATTGCCTCAATCTATGTCAAGGATCTCAAAACTTTCACATCAGCCTCACCTCACTTTGCTGTAGCATCATCTGTCTCTTTCCATAACTTCCTCACTGGCTGCAAAAGAGCTATGCTCCATCAGGATGCAGACAGAAGACTCCAAGAGATAGAGGAGTTGAACAAAAAATAATATTTCTTTCTTATCAACAGATTACTTCATGAACCAAGAATCAATCTGTCTGTCTGACAGCAGTAGGTTGGTATGGAATATCACAGATACACACATCTGCACTCTCCTAGAATAAGTTCCAGTGCCTCTATGTCCTGGAATGCAACCTCTGGTAAGGCAGCCTGCTGGAGAAGGTACACCAAAAACTTCAAATTAAATAAAAAATGATAGGATTTCAAATTTTGCTTATCAATCTCTGCATGGGAAAAGAGGAAAAACGATAACTAGACGTGTCAAAGATTTCAGTGTTCAGAAAGCACTGTTTCCATCCCACAACATGGAATAAGCATAAATAACTCTGTGACATAAACCTACCACCTATGCCGAGATATCCTGCAACCCTATCAATAACATTGCTACAAATGATGGTTATGATAAATTACCTTATTTAAAATATGGTGCACACTAATAACCATTTAATATAATGCAACTGTGCTGTGTGTTTGTCTTTCCACATTGTCCCTCTTTAAAAAGTAATCTTTCTTTGTAAAGCCTGAACTGGAACAGGGGAAGAAAAATGCACATTTTAACAGATTTACTCCAGGCAGAAAACAAGATGCTTTTGTTTTGTTTTTTCTCTTGTATCTCTACACCAGTGGGTAAAGTGTAAAATTTCATTCTTCCATCTTTAAAAGGTTTTTCAAAGCTGAAGGCTTTTTCTGTAGCATGATCTCTGCTCATTAGACAGCTCCTTCCAAAACTGTACTGCACAGTAATAGCTCAGAGAACTGCACGAGGCAAGTGAGGTTTTATGCACAAAGCAATAAATTAGGAAACAACACTGATGTTTACACTCAGCCACTGTCTCGTGCAACTTGCCTGACACGGGTAACCTCAGCAAAAGTTAGTTCATAGCTAATAATGCTGAACTCCTTCATAAAGTGCATGAAGATTTTTCCAGTGAAAACTGGTGTATCAAAAAGCATTACTGAGAACAGTAAGCACTGTGCAAATTTAACAGGCAGCTAAAATTCAGAAAAGCACTAAGAAGCATTGTGACTGAGCTATCTTGTACTTCTACACTCACGTCTTCCTCTGGACTCAGGATGAAACATGATCTCAAATATCTGTATTACCATGATTTTTAAGAATTCCTCTCAGATTTCATTCATGTGTTCACAGCACACGTGTACCAAAGGCTTACATTTAGCTTTGGCGCTGCCTCCAGCCCATCCTCCTGCTACACACAGGATTGCATCCACCTTTTCTTCACCAAGAAGTTTTCCAACTGCTGCTGTCACCTTCAATACATAGAACAAAGACATATTGAACTGATGGACTGATAAGGTAAAGGAGTAAAAATATCAAGGCTGCATTAAAGTTACTCAGTTACATAACTGGAAAAAAAGTAACACAGCACATAGCAATTTAAACAGCTGCAGAAAATTAACATTTATCATCTCTAAACAAAGTAATTGTGTTGAAAAATACTATATATGAAAGTCAGAGAGATGAAAATCAGACTGTACAGTGCATGATGTCACTGGAAATAAGTGATTTGAGCAGAACTGAAAGATCTGACCCTCACCTATAGCATTAAAAAAAATTGGCATTTGCGACCTACTTTTTGACAAGGTTCTTCTCTGGGCACAGTGCTGTTGAGAAATGAAACTCCAGGTCTGACCAGGTCTACTGGTGTCACTTTGGATAACAGTGCAAGAAATGAACAACTAAAGATTAGCTGCCTTAATGCTTTTATGTGGACGACAATCATCAGTTTGAATCCAGCCTCTAAATTGGAGTTTGTATACTTTTAGTCACCTGGTATCTTTTTCTCTATCAAATATAAGGCTTCACAGTAATGCATTTGTTGGCTAAGAATTTTCTCTGTCAAAGGGAAAAGCAAATAATCCATCTCTCAACAAAAGAAAAAAAGATCCAAGGGTTTTCACAAAGGCTCAGTATTGAAAAACACACTGCAAACATTCTATGTAACTCTCTAAAACCCTTAAGAGTTGTGTAAATATGAAGAAAACATATTGGCTAGTGATTCAGTTTATGAGTAAGAGAAACGGGCTCAGAAGTTAACATTTAAGAAAAAATAATCCTCTCTCTCCAGAATAAAGCAACACAGTTTTTAGGCTAGCTTTGATTCTCCCGTGTTCACCTTTGTGGAAACCAGTGGATCCTCTGTGGATCCCATCAGGGCTCAGGGTTTGCATGCTCTGGGTGTATCTTCTATTCACACACTGCACATTTGAGAGTCAGGAGATCAGAACGAAGCATTGCACGTTAACATGCCCTAATCCATCTTCACCTGATTCAACCCGTGACTTTTCAAGTCTCCAACAGAAAAACTATGCAAAACTGCCTTACGTGCTGAACCTCCAAACCCCCAGATGAAGCTCTTTCTGCACACTCACGCATCCGTGCGGTTAGAAGAAAATTACATTAAAAAGAAGCAGCGAGGAGCAGGAGCCGGGATGTTCGGGTTGAGGACCGGCTCCTCCGCCCCACAGCGGCGGCTTCTGGCCCGAGGCCGGCCCCATCCCCACGGCGGCGGAGAGGCCGGGGGGAGAGGCTGGATGTCAGCGCCTCCACAGCCTCCGCACCCCGGGGAGCGCCCGCCCCGCACCCCGACCCACCTGCTCGGCCTGCTCGGGGAAGGACTCGGTGGTCCCCACCACCACGTTGGCGCTGGCGTCCTCGTTCTCCGCCAGGTCGATGCTGGCCACCCACTGCCGAGAGGAGGGAGAGGAACGGCGCGTTAGCGGGCCCGCTCTCCCCGAACGAACGCCTCCCGGCGGGGCCGGCTCCCCGCCTCGCCGCCACCCCCCGGCCCGCCGCTTACCCAGTTCTTGGACTTGAAGTACCGCACGCACTGGGACCCCAGCGCCCCTCTGCCCCCGTACACCAGCACCCTGCCCGCCGCGGCCATGCTCGCTGCCCGCCCGCCCGGCTCTGGATCGAGCTCCGCTCTGGCCGCCCGGCCGGCCCCGCCTGCGCATGCGGGGGGCGGGCGAGGGGCGGTGGCGCCCGGCCTAGGGGGCCGTGCCGGAGGAGGGGGAGCCCCGGTACCTCGGCCCAGCCCCAACCTGCCCCCCGAAGGCTCAGGGGGTGCCGCAGGGGCAGTTTTACCTCAGGAAATCCCCCACCCGTGGGCTCCCCGCGCCTGGTTCGGACCGAAAGCCGGTCACCACCCCCACACACACACACGATCTCCGGTGGCGGACTGTGTTACCTGGGTCGCCGGGGATACTGCCAGGATTAATTAATTAGTGGTTATAAAGGTGCCTGCAGGTCTTGGGTAGCAGTAACCGTAGAAGCGCAGGCAATTACGGCCGGTTTCCTGTAGCGCTCCCGGGTCGCACCTGTAGCTTCAATGGCGCCGCTCGCTGCGGTCCGCGCGGCTGGCCCCGGGCGGTGAGGGGCAGCCTTCACCCCGGTGTAAATGCGGGAGATTCGTACGAGACATAATGGCGTCCTGAAAAAGGGGTTCTGTGCCTCAGTGAACAGCCTTGGAGAGGAAGGGGGCAGCGGCCGAGGCGGGCGGGCCCGCGGCTTCG